CAGCGCAAAAAGGCTACTGTCATTTAAAACTAAGTTAGGCGGTGTTTCTGGCCTGCATTGGAGAAAGCGGCTTGCGCCTAATTCCCATCCGGTCATCTCGACGCTGTCTTTTCACCGGTTCAAGCGGGGAGAGAGTTTAGAGTACGATATATGGCTGCTCGTCTACTTGCACTATACCCGACTACAGTCACCATCCCTGCTGTTGGGCATACGGTGGACATAATCGAAATCGATAGTCGAACTATCACCATCATATTTGTTGTAAATGACAAAAGCCCTTAAAAACTCCATTGGAACGGCACAGGTGTGCGCATAAAAAGTATTAAAGATGCAAAAATTGTTGCAAATCGCTTTGGTAGGCAAAATGCATAAACGTATTCATGAAATATGAATGGTTAAAACGGTGAGACCTTTACGAAATAGCAGCGTACAAAACGTTCACTGCTTTTCCACTGAAATGTTCACGCGAGTTAACTTTAGTGTAAACTAACAGTCTATTGAAATCGGAGGAGTAGTATGTTTGTAGTCATATCTGTTATCTGTTAGAAAAGGGTTTAAAAGTTTGTGTTGACTTTTAACGGATGACTATCCAGGCGTCGCTTTAACACGTTAGTAGGTTATCAATAAGTGCATATATATGTGTGTGACGGCACGACCATACAAAAGATACATCTCAGACGACTAGCCTGCAATCCATGCCTTGTCTGAATTGCTCTTTATCTAAACTTGAACCACGCGAAAGCCTCATATCCTCAAAAACTTTAATTTTCATTTGGTGGAGGGCCCTTTTGCGGTTTCTTATTGGCCTGTTGGCCGCGTAATAAATATCGGGGATCCTCGCATCCCCCATCACTTTCCTTACTGCTGTCTATCAGCTTCTCCTATTTTTACTTAACAGGGCTGTCGCTCAGTGGACGAGTTTGAATGCCTCAACCGCATCGAGGAGGGCACCTACGGTGTGGTCTATCGGGCCCGAGACAAGAAAACCAGCGAGATTGTGGCTCTGAAACGTCTGAAGATGGAGAAGGAGCGTGACGGCTTCCCGATCACCTCTCTGCGCGAAATCAACACCCTGATGAAGGCTCAACACGAGAACATTGTCACAGTGCGCGAGGTCGTTGTTGGCAACAATATGGACAAGATCTACCTGGTCATGGACTATGTGGAGCACGACCTGAAGGCCCTGATGGAGGTATGCTTTTCATGCACACACACACATATATTGAGAAAGTGCCCATGTTTTATCGTGCATTTCTGCTGACGCTTTCAGGTACCTGGCTGGGGTGCTTGTCGGCGGCAGGTCAATTCTACGAAATGAGGTAAAACCGTAGAAGTGATAGCTC